ATGAACGCGCAACACACTGAATACTTTACAACAAATTTACAGGCTTAAATACTCATCACAAAGGGCCGGACAGATCACAGGTCAATTTGCTGCGCGATTCTGGATTGCGCTTTGCTTCTCCTGCGCACCATCTTTTGCTCGCTCTACATTCAGTTTATAAATTTGATGGATTTCGTTATGTTGCTTTTCAGCCAGTGTTAAGACGAGTTTGCGAGAAAATTTTCGTTAGTTTACGCGAATTGGGGAAATGTCCTCATACAAATGACGATTGCTGACATTATTATTTTAGGTTTGTACAAAATGGATGAAAATGGGCAGAATCCAACGGAAGCACAGATCAAAGCAGGTTCGCCGCTTTTGCCACAATTATTCGTTTCTGAGCTTGCTGTACATTGTGCTCTGTATGTCTGTGATACGCCGCCAAATGGTAGCTTTTCTCATTTCAGAAACCAATGGAACTCCTGCTGCTGCTGCTGCTGCGCCGCTTCCTGTTCCGACTAACATAGCACTAACAGTGCCTCAGGCAGCTGCTGCTGCGTATCTCCCGAGCGAAGCATTCGTACCAATGCCTGTGCTACCGCAAAGTGGCAATGTAAGTTCATCAGAGTTCCTTCTACACTACACTGCAGCAGTGTCTTTCCACGGTTTTGATTGCTGGGATAGGAAAATACGCAAATTTTCCGCAAGAATTCGAAAAAGCGCGGAATTTCTGTGTTCCAACTTCGTTTCCTTCCAAGAAAAGAGGCGGGGGAGGGGGCAGTGGGGGAGGGGAGAGGAAGGCTCGGGTAATCCGGTGAATATTCGAGAATCATGAGCTGGCAGACCACCACTTTTTCGAAATCGACCAAGTTTCACAGCGGGAGAATTTTCGTGTTATCTCATCCGGCGAAATCTCAGTTTACTGTTTGGATCTGCGAAACCGGTCAGCCTTGCAACACGCATGCTGAGCGGTGCTATTTGAAAACCCGGGTTTTCTGCCAGTAGATTTTTGAGACAGTACTTGAGGATGATGATTTTGCATGACATTCCAACTTGTCTATATTCGTTTTACAGATTATCGTTGGACCAGGCGCGAAGAAAGAGGCGCAGTTGTTGGGTTT